GCTCCGGGTCTGCGCCCGGGCCCCACGCTCCGCCCCCACCTCCCTCCCGAGGCGAGGTCCCACTGTCGCGAGTATTTTCACAGCGCACTTGTCGCTGTTACTCCCCAAGAGGAAACAGCAGCTCCGACGCAGAAATTCGTGGAAATCAGGCGTCCACAGGGCCACCCTTCTATCTTTAGGACCCCGGCGGGCCTCGGAGCCGGGGCCCTTCGAGGCCGGAAGTTCTCGCTTCTAGAACTGCAAGCCGCGGGAGCCCCGGAAGCTGTAGTGATGGCAAGTAGGCGGCAGAGGGCGGTGTTTCGTGAGGGGAGGTAGGCTTTTCGGTAGCAATTTTCTTTACACCTGTTATACTTCTTCCTAGGCCCGGGTAGCCTTAGGCCACCTGTTTAGTTCACGTCGCTGTCCGTTTCCCTGGAAACAGAACTGCCGGCACAGAGGTGGTTTAGAGAATCTGAAGGATCGGGCTATTCTCTGGGGCGTTTAGGGGCAAAACTGCACCCTCCCAGATGCCCAAGACAAGCCCCGCTGGAATAATCCCCAGGGCTCTGTGGAGACTCACAACTGTGCGTTTCCCATCGGGTCTTCCATAAAAATACTGCTTGGCCCAGGGACTGCAAAGATAGGAGGCCCACTCCTGCCTTTGACTTGCTGAGGTTTTATAGAGGCAGGGCATAACATATACGACGATTCGGATATTAGCAAGTCAAAATTCAGATTCTTGTAGGATCCAGCCAGATGCTTAAATAAATGTAAAAATACACTTCTCACAAGTACCCTGTACCTCTTAATCCTGCCTTCTTTTTTTCATAGCATTTATCATTTTCTATGATTAATCATTAGTTTGTTCTTCATTAAAAAGAAGGAAATATTTGCAAGGGCTTCCAAAAAGCACTGAACCTGGGATATCCTTAAAGCTCAGTGTTGGAATGAAAAACAAGATTAGTTAGAGATAAGAGAAAGCAGATTAAAGACAGCCTTAAAAGCAAGAAATTTTAGTTTTAGCGTATAAGGCATTAAGGATATTTGAGCAGAATAGTATAAAAAAGAGTTCTTGGAATATAATCAGTGTGGATTATGCATGTGAATAAGCAGGCTCAGACAGTTTTAGGAGACTTGGGGCAGTTAGCCGAAAGATGTTTTAAAGGAGTTGTATTAAGAGCAAAGGGTTGAAGATTAGCCTTTGAAAAACATTTACATTTTACAGATACTTTTAGTTCTTCTGCTTTTATGCTGAATATATGAAAATATCTAGTTGTATTTGCCTTTCTGTGTATGTACTCAGTCTTTTCATGAGTTTTTCCAATTAACAAAATTTTTAAAAAGTTACTAGGAGCCAGACCCGGTTTTACAAACAAGAGGGCACACTGATTGTTTACTGTTGCTTCTCATAATGAAGTGATTGGGCAGTTAAAAGACAACTCTGGCAATGCACAATCTCTGGTGTACAAAGGAATGCAACATTTCCATTTTCCTAATACAACCTCTTTAGAGCCTCTACCTTCCTGATGACAGAAAATAACTTTATCAGTTTCAGCATAATTCAGTCTCTCCATGTTTTTCTTACTTATTTGGGTTTACACTCAACAAATCTCTGACATCTTTGCCTAAGTCCACTTTCCCTGCACATATACATAATGCACCAGTGGACATAGCTGGATAGCCCTGGCTATGTTCTGATTCTTTCAGTATATATTTGATGAATATCTCCTTTTACTAAAACAGGTACAGGTTTGATTCTTCCTCAGACAGACCACAATGAAACATGCTCTAGTTATTGGTCTAGAAACACTAAAGAGGGTCGGATAAACCTTGAAAAGAGAAGCATCTTGAAAACTATCCTCTTCAGTGAGATTTCTGCATGGCTTTCAGAGAATGGGAAGCCATTGTCCTCTAGCAAGCACTAGTATCTCTCTTCTGTTGGTCTGGAGCATAAGGATAAATCTGTCATCTCAGTTCTCAAGGTTATACATCCAGATAGTCCCATCCTGGATCATAGGGTCTCATTCCTTCCCCATAGGAACTGACTATAGTGTAGGAGACATATTGTGGGTGATGAATTCAGCCTTTTTTATTATCACTTTTAATGACTAATTAAAATCTTTTAGATTCTGGTACTCTCACAGTCAGATGCTGAGTCTGATTTTTCAATTACTATAATTTGCCCCCTTTGATTACAGTAAGTAAAGGTATCCCCTACCCTCTCTTGATGAATGGGATATGATTTTTTCATGAATTCCGAAAGTTTTTGGTTTGAGTGTTATTTTTAAATAAATTCTGATTTTGGAATGGTTTTAGACTACAATCTCCAGCCCACAAAAAAGTTAAAAATACAGTACAGAGTTCTTAATTACTTCTCACCCAGTTTCTCCCATCATTAGTATCTTACAATTCCATGGTACGTTTCAGATTCAATCCAATTGGTCAGGAGTCCCCAAGACAATTCCCAGGTTCGATACTGTTAGGAAATTGATCATGTTAAAGTATGCTGTGACACCGCCTCACAGGCTGCATTCTCCTGGTACCCCTTGGCTCCTAAAATGACTTCATGCCCTTATCTCTGGCTTCCCTCCCCCAAGGCCACAGTGGTCTGGAGAAGTTGAAACCTGTGCCTGCAGGACTGGGCCCATAAAAGCAATCTGGCCTGTGGTAGGTTAAAAGTAGCTCACTCCTCATAAATAAGCAATAGCCCACCCCAAAACTGATAAAAGGACCTTCCTTTCTTTGTTCTTCTCTCTCCTTCTTCTTCCTCCATTTGTTCTGTCTCTCCTCCTACCCCTTGAATAAAATCTCCAGTTGGACCTCTCAGTGTGTGTGTGGCCTAGTTGTTGAGTGTCACTATTCCCTTTCATTGGTGTCAGAAGCGGGATCTGGGATTGCCAGGCCCACAGGTTAAAATACCTGGGGACCCGAAACCAAGATACCAAGACGCTCCAACTCAGCCCCCACCCGACGTCCGTGACTACCTTCATTGGCGCTGTTCTCACAGCCAGCACCGATCTACCTATCTTCAGGCCTACAATGGATATTGGGTAAGTTCCCCCTTCTGAGGTGTCTTTCGGGTAACGGGAGATCCCAGAGTCCTAGACCACCCACGAGGACCACGTCCGGGACAAGGCCAGGGGCCCAGGCCCTCTGTCCCTCAGTTTTGGCAAACCGGGTTTGCCGTGTTGAGTCCGGGACTCAACTGAGCTAAGTCTGGGACTTAGCTCCCTGTAAACTCCTATCTTGTGCAAGGGACGCCTTCACAAGAGACCGAGTTTCAGCTTTCTAGACCGGATCTAGAAAAAGAGGGGGTCCTATCAGAACTCTTGGAGACGTCTGGACTTCTGATAACCTCCTGTCCTGGTGGTCATGGGCTCTGACTCTTCCATACCCGTAGACTCTCCTATGGAATGATTACTCAGGAATCTGGAGGGCCTTGACCTAAAACCCGAATGGCTAATTTGCTTATCCACTCAAATTTGGCCCCAATATCAATTAGACAATCAAAATGTCTGGCCACCTAACAGCTCCCTTGAACCGGGTCTAATTAGGGATCTATAACTTTTGTGAGCATCAAGGAAAGTGGTCAGAGATTCCATATGTCCAGGGTTTTTCTTATCTTAGCAACCAGCCCTCTCATTGTTCCACTGCTCGGCGGAGACTGTCTCTTCTATCACCTCCTCCCACACTTCTACTAGCCCTGGGTCCCTCCACCTCCAACCCCCTCCCTCTTCATTCCTCAGACAGCGGGACGGCGGATGACCCTCCCCCATACCAGGAAACCAACCCGCTCCTCCCCCTCCCCCATCAGACTCCTCCTCTCCTCCTAGGTCTCCTACTTCTCCCATTCCCTCAACACCTCCTACTGCTCCACCGCATGCTCCAACCCCACCTCTCACTCGTTCCAAGTCACATATGAGCCACATGATGGCGCCCTTGTGTGAAGTCGTCCGCGTTCATACCTCCTTCCCCATGACTGAACTAGCTCTCATCCAGGCCAGACTTGGTTCTTTTACTGCTGATCCAACAACCTTTGTAGAACAATTTCAACTCTTGACACAGTCTCATCAATTAACCTATCATGATCTTTTTGTTGTTCTCACCAATGCTTTAACTCCTGAAGAAGGCAAAAGAGTGCTGGATCAGGCTCGTGCTCATGCAGATCATGAGCATTTGACAAACAACCACCATCTGGTAGGTGCTGCTGCAGTCCCGGAATAGGACCCAGGATGGGATTACAACACTGAGGCAGGAATTGAAGCTCGAGACAGGTACATTAATTGTCTCCTTCATGGGCTCTGCAGAGCCACCATGAAGTCTGTAAACTATGAGAAGCTTAATGAAATTATACAAGAATGAAAATCCATCTGCCTTTTTACAAAGGCTAACTGATGGCCTCCGCCAACACACCAAACTTGACCCTGAGTCTGTCTATAGCCAAAGATTAATTATGATGCATTTCTTTTCTCAGAGCTACCCTGACATTAGACTCAAACTAAAAAAGCTCGAGAGGGGACCTTTGACTCCTCCTGCAGAAGTCCTGGCCACAGCATTTAAAGTTTATCATGGCCGTAATGATCACAAGATCACCAAAAAATACCAATTATTGGCGCAAGCCTTCAGTCTGCCAAGCCACAATTCCCTCAGGGAAAGGACCCTTCAGGGGACCCTCTAGCCCAGAAAAACCCTGCTTCCAGCGTGGCCAGGAGGGACACTGGGCCAGTGATTGCCCAAATCCAAGAGTGCCCACAAAGCCTTGCCCTAAATGCCAACAGAAGGGACACTGGGGTTTCGATTGCCCCCTGGCATCCACCCGCCATTGAGGTGCCAGCCCCGCTACTCCCCAGA